AGTGTGAGTTCACTTTTTTTTTCACCATCTCCATAAAAATTTAATGGTTGGTCTACCAGATGACATAGCAGTTATGTCACTAGACTCCCATATGGTCAACTGCGGTTCAAGTCCCATACCTGGTGGCTTGAAACTCAGGCCAGGCACATGTGTGCATGTGTGCGCTCTAGATCCCAGGAGGAGAATGGAAGAGAAGGGATTGCAGTGTGGCCTCCTCTCTGATAGGTGTGTGGGGAGGTGACTTCTCACCTTCTCTCTCACTGCCTCTGTTTCTCTCCCTGGTGAGTGCATGCACCCTAAGGCAAAAATACTCTTAAAAAAAAAAAAACTTAATGCATACGAAACCTATTCTAGTCCTCTGTCTTATTAAATAACTAACATCCCATCTAACATGATTCCATGGGGAAAATGAAAGTTGGTGCCAAGTTCACTGACAGTAGTGACCATGCAGTCTATTTCTTCTGGAATTTTGTATTCAGAGCAGAATGGAAAAAGAAGCATAAAATATAATTGTATAATTATTTGTGAACCTTTTTTGAAATGAACCCTTGCCAATTCTGGGCCTTTAAAGCCATGGTCTGTTTTTTAGGGGATCGTTTCTTTAAACTATGAGACTTGTTTGTGGAACATCATTCTGATAATTAGTGAGGCATTTTCTTTTCACATTTGATAGATTAAGCCAGTCAGCCCTAGAACAAAGCAATTTTATTTTATTTTTCCATCTATGCCAATCATTTTTTATTTGTTGCAGAATTTAAGATAATTAATTTGTATGTGTGATAAAACTTGGCCTGAATTATAAGAGATTTATTTCTTTTTATTGCAGAAAAAAACCCACATAACTTTAAATGTACCATCTCCCATTTTAAAGCGTACAATTCAGCTGTGTTTATTCACATTGTTGCACAACAAATCCCTAGAAATTTTTTATCTTGCAAAACTGAAACTCTATACCAACTCTATACCCACTAAATGCTAATTTCTACCCCTTGCTCCCCCATACTTCTTAACCATCTTTCTAGTTGCTGTTTCTATGATTTTGGCCACTTTAGTTACTTAAATGAGTAATAGTATACAATATTTGTCTTTTTGTGATTGTTTTTTTCATAATGTCCTCAAAATTCATCCATTTTGTAGCATGTGACAGGATTTGTTTCTTTTTGTTTTTGCTATAGGGTGTGTGGGCTTGCCAGAGAGAGGAGGAGAGGGAAAGTGAAAAATTACTCCCCACCCCTGTGGAGGGGATGACCACGATGACCACACCGTAGTCCCTTCTCCTCTGCTTTCCTCTTGGCATATAGGGCATGCACAGACACACGCCCAGCGTGATTCCCAAGCCGCTAGGTCTGGAACTTAATTCATGAAGAAAAAAAAGAAAGCCAAGGCCAAGAGGGATTATATGTTCAGTTTTATATTTAAAAGGTTCTTTCTAGCTACTCTGAAAATGGAGGGTGGAGAACAAGGGCAGGAGCTGGGAGACCAATTAGGAAACTCTTGTCAACCAGGCAAGAGATAATGGTGATTTGACCCATGTGAGGGCCAATCAGGTTCTGGATACTTTAAGGGGATTTTTTTTTTTCCTAGAGAGGGATTTTCGGTTTAAGGTGTGTGTGCTCGCTGAAGAGACAGAGACAGAAGGTGAGAAATCACCCCCTCAGGGAATATGGCCATACCACAGTCCCTTCTCCTCCAATCTCCTCTTTGAATTTTGAGCACACACTCAAATGCATCCAACATGAGTTTTAAGCAGCCAGGTCCAGGACTTGAACTGCGGTCAACTACATGGGAGTCCAACAACGTAACCATTATGCTACCTGCTGATCTCAATTTTTTAAAGGAAATTTTAAAGGGAAGCCAACAATTGAAGTGAATCATAATCACCTGCCAAGATGCATGTTTTCATTTTACAAAATTTTCTGATAAAAGTCAGAAATAGGTAATTTTATAATTTTGAAGTTTTGCAAATAAATAATACATGGTAGAATAACCAGAGTTTGGAGTAGAGAGGAAGGAATGTCGGGTGTGTTTCTACCCAACAGAGACTACAAGCTTACAGCATCATGTAACACATGAATTTCTTTATCCTGCCTCACACTCACACTTGCCAGAATCTGGATTGAATCAATATGGTCTTCTTCTTCTTTTTTATTGAAGAGGTTTTTGCTATAGGGCGCGTGCGCTCGCCAGACAGACAGAGAGAGACAGAGAGATAGAAAGCGAGAAATCATCCCCCAGGGGGGATGGCCACGTCGCAATCCCTTCTCCTCCATTCTCCTCTCGGGATCTTGGGCACACACGCGCCTGGCGTGAGTTTAAGCCACCGGGTCCGGGACTCGAACCGCGGTCGACTACGTGGAAGTCCAGCGACATAGCCATTACACTAACTGCTGGTCCCATTATGCTCTTCTTAGATCAGTGAAACAACAAAGATGTTGTAAGATTTCTTTTTCTTTCTACTAAATATGATTTAAATATATGAATTACAGTACTGGCTATTTATAGTTCTTGGTCCGTCACAGGGATAGTTATGTTTTGGAAAGTCAAATGGGCATTATAGCAGCTAACATGAATTCAGAACTTGCTAGATGCTGAGCACCAGGCTTTAGGGACATTATGTGGTCCCATTATTGAATCCTTACAGTAATCTTATGAAAGTAATACTAGAAAGCATTGCTATTGAAATTCCTTCAGTTCTCAAAATGAAACGCATAATAGCAAGACAAATGTGAGGAAACTCATAAATCTCCTTTATTTTTTTAATTGCCAGAGGGCACATGCACTCACCAGAAAGACACAGAAGGAGAAAGCACCCCCGAGTGAGGTGTGGCCATGCTGCAATTCCTTCTCCTGTGTGTCTCTATCCCTTCAGGATTTTGGGGCATGTGTGCACACACCTGGTGTGTTTCTCAAGCCATCAAGGCAGACTTCAAAATGTGGTTAGCCATGTGGGATCTGGCTCCTATTAGGCTATAGGACCAGGCCTAATTTCACTTTTCATACTGTAGCAAGTGACTGGCCCAGTCTTGGGCAATCAAGATAAACATTAGATCTGTGATGACTGTTTGCCTCTGATTGGAATCCAGAAAACTAGAATAACCACTAATATCATTATAAGCAATTGAGCAATACATAATCTTACCTCAGAATAGCTTATTAAAACCAATAGATGATGGTTGATAAAAATCAAACATCCCCAGCTTTTCTTATTTTATTCTCTGACAACCACTATTTAGCTAAATCTGAAAGAGGGATATATTAAGATAATAAATAATAAATATGATTAACTTTTTTTTTTTTTTTGGAGAGATTTTCACTGTAGGGCGCGTGCGCTCGCCAGACAGACAGAGAGAGACATAGAGACAGAAAGCGAGAAATCACCCCCCAGGGGGGATGGTCACGCCGCAATCCCTTCTCCTCCATTCTCCTCTCGGGATCTTAGGCACGCACGCACACGCGCCCGGCGTGAGTTTTAAGCCACCGGGTCCGGGACACGAACCACGGTCGACTACGTGGGAGTCCAGCGACATAGCCATTACGCTAACTGCTGGTTCCCAATATGATTAACTTTTGTGAGCATTTAATATATGCCAGTTACTACAGTAAGAGCTTCACATAGGTTCCTTTAATTCTCTCAGTAAACCTGAGACATTTTTATGACCAACCTTATTAAGTAGTTGGAGAAACTTAGGCTTTAAGAGTATATATAGCATATCTATAATCTAAAGTTATTAAGTGGCCAGTGATATACCCATGAGATCAATGAGATGCACATATGTTAAGTATGCTTTTTTGTTTTAGAGTTTTATGCTATAGGTGCATGCACTCGCTTGAGAGACAGAGAGACAGAGAGTGAGAGAATCCCCCCGCCCCCATGGGTGATGGCCACACCACAATCCCTTCTCTTCCATTCTCCTCTTGAGATTTAGGACACGCATGCACATGCGCCCAACATAAGTTTAAATCCTCCGGGTCCGGGACTCAAACCTTGGTCAACTACATGGGATTCCAGCGACATAACCATTATGCCATCTGCTGGTCCCAAGTATGTTTGTTTTTAATGAAGATCAGTGGTATGGTGGGATAGGATTCTTTTATTGTTTAGTCAAAACCAAATGTGGCTGTAAGAATATAAAAAAAAATGGGTATTTTGCTCTCATAGCTATGTTAACTTTTTACATAAGAATAACTGAGTTAGCCCCCTCCAAAGAAAAAAGGGCCAGCAGTTGGTGTAATGGCTGTCACTGGACTCCCATGTAGTTGACCATGGTTCGAGTCCCGGACGTGGTAGCTTAAACTCATGCCGGGCGTGTGTGCATGCATGCTCAAGATCCCAAGAGGAGAATGGAGAAGGGATTGTGGTGTGGCCATCTCCCCCAGGGGTGATTTTTCACTTTCTGTCTGTCTCTCTGTCTTTCTGGTGAGCACGTGCACCCTATAGCCAAAACCTCTACCCCCAAAAATAAAAGAATAACTGAGTTAGAGAAACATTTGCTAAATAAACCACTTGGAAAAGAAGGAATTCCTGGAAAGAAATGGGGTACTTTTAGTAAGTTTTGAATTTTTAATAAACTACCTTTAATGTGTTGTGATTTCTAGGAATGACCTTTTAGTTTTTTGAAGATACACATATATTTTAACGATTTGCCAACTGGTGCTGAGCTTAAAGTTACCTTTGTTATTAAAGAAATAGCATCTGTATGTATTTCCAAGTGTTCTAGTAAGTATGTATGTACATCGTGTGTGTTTAGTGACTTTATCTAGTAGTATACATGCAGTCCCAATTGAAGAACACTAAAACTAGTTCTAATATAGAAAGTGAGGTATAGCCTTCCACCTACTAGAGGGTCTTAAAATTCAAAAGCCTGCTTAGTAATCCTGATTGCATATTGAACATTTCTGTTATTAAATTTGTGAGTGACTATGCTCTTCTAGTAAACAAAAGTCTATAATGTAGAAAGTATATGGAATAAGCATAACATCTGTCCTAATCTAATTTTCAGGCACATCTCCAGACTTTGATTTGGCTGAAGTAACTCATGCCACAGAGCTGTACGTATGCCGGGAACTGAGAGACACGAACTGCTTCCTGCCTTTTGAAAACTCCAGAAAAACTATCCCTCAGACTCTGGAATTCTGTACATCTCAAGCGAGAACGTTTACATTTTCTGCTTACTGTCTTACATATCACTATATAGTATTAATGTTTTGTTAAAACTTAGGAGTGTCAGGAGTTGAACTTACTTAGTGAGCCAGCATGGCTAGGATGAGCTTTGTTTTAACGATTTGCCAACTGGTGCTGAGCTTGCTAACGACTTCATTAACTGAGTCTTCCATACAGAATAGTGAGTGTCCACAACTTTGTGTATGTGAAATTCGTCCCTGGTTTACCCCACAGTCAACATACAGAGAAGCCACCACCGTTGATTGCAATGATCTCCGCTTAACAAAGATTCCCAGCAACCTTTCTAGTGACACACAAGTGCTTCTCTTACAGAGCAATAATATTGCAAAGACAGTGGATGAACTTCAGCAGCTTTTCAACCTGACTGAGCTAGATTTCTCCCAAAACAACTTTACAAATATCAAGGAGGTAGGGTTGGCAAACCTGACCCAGCTCACTACTCTGCATTTGGAGGAAAATCAGATTACAGAGATGACTGATTACTGTCTGCAGGACCTCAGCAACCTTCAAGAACTCTACATCAACCACAACCAGATTAGTACTATTTCTGCTAATGCTTTTTCTGGCTTAAAAAATCTTTTAAGGCTCCACCTGAACTCCAATAAATTGAAAGTTATTGATAGTCGCTGGTTTGATTCTACACCCAACCTGGAAATTCTCATGATTGGGGAAAATCCTGTGATTGGAATTCTAGATATGAACTTCAAGCCTCTCTCAAATTTGAGAAGCTTAGTTTTGGCAGGAATGTATCTCACTGATATTCCTGGAAATGCATTGGTAGGTTTGGATAGCCTCGAGAGCCTATCTTTTTATGATAACAAACTGGTTAAAGTCCCTCAACTTGCCTTGCAAAAAGTTCCAAATTTGAAATTCTTAGATCTCAACAAAAACCCCATTCACAAAATCCAAGAAGGTGACTTCAAAAATATGCTTCGGTTGAAAGAACTAGGAATCAACAATATGGGAGAACTGGTCTCTGTGGATCGCTATGCCCTGGATAACTTGCCTGAACTCACAAAACTAGAAGCCACCAATAACCCCAAACTATCTTACATCCACCGCCTGGCTTTTCGAAGCGTTCCTGCCTTGGAAAGCTTGATGTTGAACAACAATGCCTTGAATGCCGTTTACCAAAAGACAGTAGAATCTCTACCCAATCTGCGTGAGATCAGCATCCACAGCAACCCTTTGAGGTGTGATTGTGTCATCCACTGGATTAACTCCAATAAGACAAACATCCGCTTCATGGAGCCGTTATCCATGTTCTGTGCCATGCCCCCCGAATATAAAGGGCAGCAGGTTAAAGAGATTTTAATCCAGGATTCAAGTGAACAGTGCCTCCCAATGATCTCTCACAACACTTTCCCAAATCGTTTAAACATGGATATCGGCATGACGGTTTACCTGGACTGCCGGGCCATGGCTGAGCCAGAACCTGAAATTTACTGGGTCACTCCCATTGGAAATAAGGTAACTGTGGAAACCCTTTCAGATAAATACAAACTAAGTAGTGAAGGTACCTTGGAAATATCTAACATACAAATTGAAGACTCGGGTAGATACACATGTGTTGCCCAGAATGTCCAAGGGGCAGACACTCGAGTGGCAACAATTAAGGTTAATGGAACCCTGCTAGATGGTACCCAGGTGCTGAAAATATATGTCAAGCAGACAGAATCTCATTCCATTTTAGTGTCCTGGAAGGTTAATTCCAATGTCATGACATCGAACTTAAAATGGTCATCCGCTACCATGAAGATTGACAACCCCCATATAACATATACCGCCAGGGTCCCAGTAGATGTTCATGAATACAATCTAACACATCTCCAGCCTTCCACTGATTATGAAGTGTGTCTCACTGTTTCCAATATTCATCAGCAAACTCAAAAGTCATGTGTAAATGTCACAACCAAAAATGCTGCCTTCGCGCTGGACATCTCTGATCAAGAAACCAGCACAGCCCTTGCTGCCGTCATGGGGTCCATGTTTGCCATCATTAGCCTTGCGTCCATTGCGGTGTACATAGCCAAAAGATTTAAGAGAAAAAACTACCACCATTCATTAAAAAAGTATATGCAAAAAACCTCTTCAATCCCACTAAATGAGTTGTACCCCCCACTCATTAACCTCTGGGAAGGGGACAGCGAAAAAGACAAAGATGGTTCTGCAGACACCAAGCCAACCCAAGTCGACACATCCAGAAGCTATTACATGTGGTAACTCAGTGGACATTTTGCTTCTGGTAGTAAGGAGCACAAAGACGTTTTTGCTTTATTCTGCAAAAGTAACAAGTTGAAGACTTTTGTATTTTTGACTTTGCTAGATTGTGGCAGAGTGGAGAGGATGGGTGGATATTTCAAATTTTTTTAGTATAGCGTATCGCAAGGGTTTGACACGGCTGGCAGTGACTCTAGGCTTCCAGTTTGTGTTTGGTTTTTATTCTTATCATTATTATGATTATTATGATTATATTATTATTATTATTTTATTTTATTTTAGTTGTGCTAAATTCAATAATGCTGTTCTAACTACAATGCTCAATAAAATGATTAATGACAGGTTGGGGTTCCCCTGTGCTTTTACCAGTAGTGTAACCCCTTATTCTGAAGCCATCAGAAAGTATCATGTCCTCCAAAAAGCTAATCTACAGTTTTTAAGCAGCACTGAATATTTTGTGGCAACCTGGTCTATAGACTTTCAACTCAAGAAGCTAAGGCTAGGCTTGTTATCTTTGTTGAACAATTTTAGTTGGCTGTACTGTAACGTTGTATCAACTGAATTGAATGTTTGCCTTTGAACAATGACTTTTCTTTTTCTCTTCTTTTTCCTTTTTTTTTGGTAATAGTTCAAGAGGCTTAGGTCAAGTTAACAGGCAATAGAAATAAGTATATCAGATTTTTTAATGTAACAAACTACATGTTGATTGTTACCTTATTGTTTTTATCTTTAGTAGCCACTTTGAAAAGACAATAATTTTGTTGTGTTTAACTCACCGACATGTGGTGTATAATGAAAACAGAACTATAATAAATTAGTTTTGTTCTGATTTTTTAGAACACTTGCACTAATGTATCATTTATAGTTCTTGCTAGTTGTAGTGGTGATATTTCTCACATTCGTAAAAACGAGCAAAGTAAATCAGCTATAGCATGTTGCTTTTTAAAGCCAGGCCCTAAAAAGTTTTGAATTCCTTTTCTAAGGGAAGAAAGATCTATTTTAATTAAGATATTTTAATGAACAGGATTTTTATATTTTAAATATTGCTGACCAGAACCTAATAGGGAAGGGGATTCAAATGAAAATAAAAGGTGTATCATTGTATATCATGTATAACTAAACATGCTAAACACACACACACACACACACACACACACACAAACACACACACACACTGAATATGTCATATTCCTTTCCTGTAAGGGTTTTGTTAAAGCCTGATATTTTCTTTGTAGTAGCCACATTCTCCATTAAAGTATAAATCAACATCTTACGAAGTGTTCCAAAATGTATGAAATGTTATTCTTTTTTTTTAACAGTTGTCTATATGCTTAAACCTATATCAATGTAAATATCAGTGTGGTGATACTGGCTGAGATAAGTAAATGATTAATAGGAAACAGAACAACTTCTGCACAGTTGGCATTTTTCATCCAAATAAGTAGAGACAGTTTTGCAGAATTAAGTGTTTCAAGATGACACAGGAAATATGTGTATAAAATTTAGAACAGAAGGAGCTAGGTTTAGGTAGAAGACGGTTTCACAAAGGTAGAGGAAGAGGATTTAGAAGTATAAGCAGAGGAGAGAGGATCCATTTCAAAATTTGAATTGATAAGGCAGAGAAATAAAAACTATTCCAGATGGCAGCTACTGGCAGGGACTCACTGTCACACCAAGAATGATGAGACCATAAAGAGACCATAAAAAGGGATGGAGAAGGAGCAGGTGCCAGCTGAGCAAAGTCAAGAGGGAAGCAGAAAGGAAGTCCAGATGAGTGAGGCTGAGGAGTCTCTTTGTCAATTCCTTGTTTAATGAATAAATTTGAAAGAAAAAAAATCATTTTCTTTCCCACTTATATTGGGGGAAAATAACTTTAGATGCTGAAACCAGTGAGCCACAATAGAAAAACAATAAGAAACTGAGACAGAAGGCAGAAGCATTCCTACCCACTGCCTTTATTCCTGTTTGGGAAAAACAGCCCCACGAGAGAGCCTGGGTCAGATTCTTAATACCCATTCAGTACTCTTCTCTACTGGTTACTCTGTGCCCAACAGCCTTCTAGAAGCCATTCAGGACTCTTTTATGTTCTGAACAACCTCTGGTGCCCCTGCTTCAAAAATACAGTATATTCTCTTCTGTTTCTCTGTGTCTTTCTGCTGAGCGCATGCACCCTATAGCAAAAACCTCTCCAAAAAAGGAAAAATATATATATAGTATATTCTCAAGTTTCCATTTACTCAGGATACATTTTAGCACAAGGGCAGACAAGAAGGTCTGGAAATTGCCTACATGCAGTGAGAGTACTGCCAGGTACATTTGGGAAACAGAGGCTTAGATGTGATGTGGATGCAGCTGTGGGACATTTCCTGTTGGGGAAGAAAGTAGTGGGCTGTTGAACAACTTCCCTTCTATCTGCAAGCCATGAAAGGGTTAATACCAAAGTACTAGACCCATGGCATCTTTTAGCTGCAGAAGGAGGGAGTGTTATCCCATGGAGCAATGAATAATGTGAATCTGGCACAGACAGGCACTTCAACATTGGTGGAAGAATATTCAACTATTTCTCCATTCCAAATATTTAGCAACTATAGGGAAATCTTGTGTTTTGTGTGCTCTGTTTGAGTTTGGTTTTGCAACATCTTTTCCTAGGCCAATTTGGATGGAAACATCCATTTTACTTTTCCCTCCTCCAATAAAATGGTGGAGCTTTTTTTTTCCCCTTGTCTGTGCTAACGGGTTTCTTTTCAGTTGCTAGAAGGCGAAGTGCTTTTCCTAGCCAAGGAGTTCCTCATTTGTACCTAATTTAATGTGAAAAGTTAGACAGCCAGTGAAATTAAATATCAAACTAGGTTCAGGTTGATAATGGAAGTTATTTCATCTTTACAAGTAAAATGACTAGGTCACTTTCTAATTTCATATTTTCCTGTTTGCCCAATGGTGTATAGTGTATCTTTAATCTGATTTTACAAGCTTAGTTTTAGAGCAGTTTCTTAAAACAGACATTTCTTCATATATGCATTCAATTAATCACCAATGTGACTGATACTATGAATAAAAAACCAAATGCAGTGTTTGATATAAAAATTTCTAATTTAGCTGTGTGATTAGCAAAAAATAAGAATCATCTCTGTTCTTTAGGAGAGAGATTTTCTCTTATGTGGTTCCTGTTTGTTCATTCTTCACTTATTTGCTAAAGATACCATATTCTACCTTTTTCTTGGTGTTTGCTTTCTCTCTCTTCATTCATTTTTCAAAACATTTTCTTTTCTTCCCTATATTAATAGTTTTTATCATCAAGAGAAAAATATATCTAACACTTTGCCAGGGAAACAATACTTTCTGCCTTACTGTTCACTGAAAAGGGGAAATTAACTACTTCTGATGCATTCTAAGTAGAACTAAAAATGTTTTCACCTCACTTCGTTCACTCTTGCCCTGTGTGTAAATAGGCTTGCATTGATATTGTTACTATTCAAAGGGGATTAGCTAGAAGAAAAAATATTATTTAGATATATGTTTTAGAATCCTCATTCCAAACTGTAGAATGATTTTGGCCTAGACTCTGGCAATTGATCTAATCTGGTGTGGACATGATTCCTTTCCCCTCTGCCCAACAGTTTGGGTACCAGTTCCTGCTCTCTCTATTCCATCAAGAACTGAAATTCATAGTAAGAACAAGGAGGTGGTTTGGGAACTGATGCTTTTTTTTTTTAAGTGTTTGTCTATTTATTTATTACATAAATGGTATTGAGAGGAAAAAATTATCCCTGAATGGAGAGTAGTCATATTGTAATCCTTTTTCCTCCACTTTTATATCCTGTCAGGATTTGGGTCATGCATGCACATGTGCCTGCCTGGTGTGTATTTCAAGACACTGGGAGTGGGCTTTGAGCCATAGTCAGCCATGTGAAATCTAGCTCCCCATGCTTTACTAGGGGGTTCGGCCTCAAACAGGGTCTTGACAGTATGAACCATCCTCACCCTTTAGCCAGCAATGAATGGATTATAGGCACACATATTCCTGGTGTATTAAAGGAGGTCTCTGGAACCAAATCCAGAGTTTTCCCATGTGTCTCAGTCTTGCAGAGAGCATCACATTTTACTCCTGTGCTATCTTCTGGCCCCAGGAAACGATTTTTATACTTGGTGGTTTAGCTTTACCTAGCACAGGTTAACAGAACCAAATGAGTTTCTTATAAAGTAGAACTCACAGGCTTGCTGGTACTAATATGATGTATTCATTTTCCACAGTCATTTGACCATTGGTGTATCTCAGGGTACTATTCTGTACTATAGATCCTAATAAACTGAGATTTCAATTTCACCCTGGAAACAGCCTGATAAGTTGGATATTCTTTCCAGTGAACAAATAAGAAAACAAAGACCCATAGGAGTAATCACTTGTCTGATACCAACAGTTTTATAAGTGGAGGATCATGGTGGGATCCCTTCACTTCCAGTTTTCTCTTCCTCCATTCCATGCTGTCTAAAGTAAAGACAGGAACATCTGCTGAAGAGCAGATGCTGGAGGTCCCAGGAAATATGGGTAAAGGCAGAGTAAGTAAATAAAGGAGAGCTAATGAGACATGCCACTGAACACTGAAGGCTTTTTTTTTTTTTTAATGTATGCTAGAGGGTATGTGCACACACCCAGGTAATAGAGAAAGCACCCCCTAATGAAGCTGAGTCATGCTACAATCCCTTTTTCTTCATTTATTGATCTTATCAGAATCCTGGACATACACATACACAAAACACACATGTCTGGCATATTTTTAAGTCACAGGGCTAGGATTTGAACCGTGATGCCATGTAGGATCTGACTTTCTCTGCATAGCACTTAACCATTGTTCTGTCAGGCTAGCCCTGAACGCTTTAGGTCATAAAGTTTGTTTCTCTTGGAGCCAGAAGGTGGATGGTAGTTAAGACACTGAACTCCCTCATGGCCAACTGCAGTTTAAGTCTTGGACCTGGTGGCTTCAAAATCACACTAGGTCTGTGTGCATGTGTATCCAAAATTCCAAGAAGAGAATGGAGAAGGTATTGTGGCATGGCCATCCTCCCTAGGGGATGATTTCTCACTTTTCCTCTCACTGTCTTCTCTGTCTCTCTCCAGTGAGTACATGTGCCCTAAGGCAAAAACTTTTAAAAAATTATTTGTTTCTTTAAGAAAACCTAAGTGCTGGGAACCAGCAGTTAGTGTAATGGCTATGTCGCTGGCCTCCCACGTAGTCGACTGCAGTTCGCGTCTCGGACCCAGTGGCTTAAAACTCACACCGGGCACGTGTGCGTGCGTGCCCAAGATCCCAAGAGGAGAATGGAGGAGAAGGGATTGCTGATGGCCATCGCCCCTGGGGGGTGATTTCTCGCTTTTTGTCTCTATGTCTCTCAGTCTGTCTGGCAAGCGCACACACCCTATAGCGAAAATCTCAAAAACAAACAAAAAAAACAAAAACAAAAAACAAACCTATGTTTATACCACGCTAAATGTCTTCAACTCCCTTATCTCATGTTACACACTCATAAAATTACAAATTTTAAAAATTTTGTGGAGGAGATTCTAAACTCATTCTTTCCTCAGTAGGAAATCATGAAAGGCTTATATAAAATTAGCAAACTCAATGTTTGGCTCTAAAGCTTAAATGGGGAAATGTGAAATTCATACAATTGAGCAGTTAAGGATAGTATCTGACATACCCAAAACCACCCAGAACAACCAGATACAAATGGCTTTAGCATAAACAAAATCTGTGGAGCTTATGGGTAAAATTATATTTAGAAAACTCTCTTTCCACCCCAAAAGTGTGCCATAAGACATTAAATAGTGTGGATTTTCTTTTCAAAGCATAGCATTTTGTTTTTAAATTTTATCTTTTTCTTCCATAAGAGAGAGAGAGATAAACTCCCCAACAGGGAGCCCATGCCATGATCCACCCCTAACGTCTACTCATCCGGATCACAGGCACACACATGGTTTGTTCAGGAAGGTCTCATGTGGGTCCAGCTGTCCCACCATCTGGCTCCAGATTTATTTTTATTTATTTTTTTAATAAATGCAACTCCCCTCCCGGCATGCCCCATTTTGTCAGTCATATACTACTTAATATAGAGCAAAGTCAGTATCCTGTACCTTATCAAAGTAGCTGTGATTGGGAACCAGCAGTTAGCGTAATGGCTATGTCGCTGGACTCCCACATAGTCGACCGCGGTTCGCGTCCCGGACCCGGTGGCTTAAAACTCACGCCGGGCGCATGTGCGTGCGTGCCCAAGATCCCAAGAGGAGAATGGAGGAGAAGGGATTGCGGCATGACCATCCCCCCTGGGGGGTGATTTCTCGCTTTCTGTCTCTATGTCTCTCTCTGTCTGTCTGGCGAGCGCACGCGCCCTACAGTGAAAATCTCTCCAAAAAAAAAAAAAAAAGTAGCTGTGAGCAAAAATGCTGGGTCTGATCATGCCACTCCTTTCTAGCTTGACCTCCCCATCTGTCTCCCTTAAGATTAAATAGCTAAAGTAAGTTTCAGCCTGGGCCCTGACAGAATGATTAAGAATCCTAGTGAGGGGGAAATCCTGAATGAATAAAGTTGTGGCTTAGCACATGAGCCTGCATATGACCATGTCTCATTAATAAAAACAGAAGGCAGAGTGACCAGGAGGAAGAAAACAAGGCATGACTATTTCACTTTGAGAGAGAGATTTTTGCTATAGGGTATGTGTGCTCACTGGAGACACAGAGAAAGTGAGAAACCAGAGGGGATGGCCACGTTTCAATCCCTTCTCCATTTTCCTTCCAGGATTTTGATCATGCACACTCACACACACGGTGAACTGTAGTCAGCCATGTGGAAGTCCAGCACCTTAACCACTACACCATCTGCTGGTCCCCAGGATGACATTTTTACAGCAGGGATTTAGGAAGGTACCGTAGTGTATCTAGCCCTCTGCTAGGAGGTTCACATGGATCATTTACATTCAATCCTCTCAGTTGTACCATTGTCCTCCCTATGTTAGAGAAGAAATAGCTGTCAGCCTCTCTAAAGAGAGATAAGCAACTTGCCTGAAAACACACAGCACACAGGTGGTAAGAGAACTAGGCCTTCACCTTGTCTACATGAGGGAAATGTGTAGGATTTTTGTTTGTTTGCTTGTTTGTTTGTATCATAATTAATTGCTAGAAGGGGAGAACACATCCCCCAGTGGGGTGTGATCACCCTGCAGTCCCTTTTCCTCCAATTTTCCATGCTGCCGAGATTTGGAGGGCACGCACACACACTTGTGCTCAGTGTGTTTTCTTAAGCTTCCAGAACTGAGATTAGAACCATGGTCAGTCATGTGGGATCCAGCTCCAACTATTCGGCCATGCTGCCAGTCCAAACTTAAGAGTTTTTAAACTGTGCCATGGTCTGCAAGCTAAATGTGGATCAGGACTGTAGGACACGTAGTCCAAGAGCACATTTGACATGTAGGAAAAATGGAGCAAGGGGAGGCACTGCCCACCTGTGGCCCTAGCACAAGGTCTAAGATCCAAATCTGAGCTCAATGTATGGAAATCATAGGAAACTAAAGGGAAGAAAACATAAATGACAACTATTCAAAGTTTGAGACAACTCCATGTAAACAGTTTGAAGAAAAAACAGTTAAAAAAATTAAAAAACCTAAAACAGGAGTCAGTAAAAGTAGAAACCATACATTGCTACACAGTGAGCATGTGGCATGCTCTATATGCTGTACTGAGGACCTGACCTGTATTATCTCACGGGCCCCTGAGAAATTACAAAGTAGGTATTCATATCCCCATTTTCCACATAAAGTAGTGAAGCCAAG